ACAGCCCCTAGCCACACATTACACCACAAACACAACACAACTGAAACCGACCTATTTACAGAACATCACATCACATCACATCACAATCCGCTCACTCTACACACACGCAATCCCACCAGCAGGCTCCAAACATATGCACAATACTCTTTCCTGGTCGTTTTGTCTCCTGGTGTCCCACTTATGGAGACACCAGAGACAAGTTACAAGCAAACACAGAACAAGCATGTTAATAAAAATGCTTGCTCTGCGCAGAACAAATACAGGGCCTTTTCTCAAGCATGGTCTGCCCTGCAAAAGCATAGAACCAACATGCTCACTTTGAGAGGGGACGTGCTTGCCATTGGTGATGACAAAACACACCCTGTCTGGCCCCACCCCTTCTTAGGGGGCCGCTGTGATTAAAAAATGCCTGGGACAAATTTTTTCCCCAGTCCGGCCCTGCCCCCTTTTATGCATGACCATAGTTTACTGGCCTTAGCAACTGCTGACTGACGTTGCACATTGTTGTCTAGCTTGTTGTCTGATACCTTGGGTGTGTAAAAAATATAGGCATTAACTTGAATTTATGACGCAGATATAAAGTATATTCCAGTATTGACTAAGCAGTATTCCTTGTTTTTAACAGGGTAGCGAACAGGAGATGTCTCCATTATCATTTGCACAATCATTATAGAATAGTCTTGATATAATGCCAGAAATTATCTTTTTAGTTAGTGAGAATAAAAGAGATAATCTCAGGATAGGTGAGTAAATAATTATGAAACATAACAAAGAAAAGATATAAAAAGAAGGATTAAGGAACAGTTTTGTGGAGGATAACAGTCCTACTCAAATAACTGTAGATGCTCCAAAATTAACTGTAAAAAAGTCTCAATACAGAGTTATGCTTAAAATAAAGTTTGGACATTGGATTACTGGTTGATTTTAGCTGTATCGGTTACAGGAAACGGTGAGCAATAACTTCTTGTTTTATGTGATATAGAACACTGAGAAAAGTTAAAATGGCATGTTGTTTAATAAAACATTTAAATAACACCTCCAGCGAGCTAACAGAAGTGGCAGAAGAACAATGCAAGCATGCAATACTAAATGCATGCATTTTTTTCATTGGGGTTATATCTACTAAACAGCAATTTAAAAAATGATTTATCACGTGAGGTGTTCCTTTAATCATTATACTCCCTTGCCAGTTGCCTTTATTTATATTGATCTTTTCTTCCTTGTGCCGGGCTATGGTCAGTGAGTAGAACATCCACGAACCATGATGGACTAATGAAAGTCCAGTTATCAAATAAAATAAGTTATTTTAATGTGCATTGTGAGGGTAATGTCCATGCATTTTCCGTGAGAAGTCCAAGTATTTTAGCCACGAGCACTTTGGACACCGACATCAGTTTCAGCATGGGTTTTAGCATGGGCACAGAGTACGCTGCCACTATCATTCTGATAGGGATGATGGTTTTGGCCAACTAGATGGGCACAGAGGCATTGTGCCAATTAGGGAGGAAAATGGAGCAATAAAAATGTGTATTTAAAAGTCTGTGATAGAGAGAGACTGAGTGCACTTGACAAAGCTCAGAGAATAAGGGCGAAACGCATTGCGTTACATGTTATCATGTTTGAGGGAGTGATGGAGGAGGAAAGAAAGAACTGGGGATATGGTGGCATTGGCAAAAGTGAACAGGATACTTTAGACTTTACATTACACACTCTGGCAATATCAATTGCTTGACACAAATTTTTCCCTTTAGCTTTATCTGAATTTTCTTTATTTTATTTTTGAGCATAAGTGCCAAAATAAAGTCTTTTGTATACTTACCTTAAGTTATTGGGGTGAATGAGATTCGTGATAGTTGGGATCCAACATTACCCACAGACCTGATCCTCTCAATAACAAAATAGTGTGGAGTGGCACTATAAACCATTCTTTGTTTTATTGATCTGTATTTTCTATAGTTTTTTTTATCTTTAAGCTAAAAAGTGAGAAGTTACTGGTATTGCACTATATTTGTAATTTTTGTGCACCAATTTCTATCTTTTATTTTTTTTAATTAATTTATTTATTTATTTATTTATTTTGGTAGTGCAAGTGAGTACAGAGAAGCGTGCAGTGCCACAACAACATCCGCAAGCAGATCAATTGTTTACATGTAATAACATTGTTATGGCATAGTGTATGTTACATTTGCACAATTTTTTTTTGTTAAATGAGATTACAAGATTACACATGTGGACAATCTAACTCAAGCATGACTAGCTAGCAATCATGAGTACTTTCCTCCCCTTCCGAGCATGGCTGATTGGGAATGTGCTAGTGTAGCTGGTGAGGGCATACAATGAGGGGCATGTTATCATATATTCATCTATTGTGTAACAGGGTAATTATTCTTTTGGTGCCCTCAGATAATGGCCCCATTTACCACATGAGAGATGAACATAAAACGCTTGCATGCAAGTTTGGGGGTCAGTATTAAGGCAGCTAGACTGTTGTAAGTCACAAGAGTAGGAACTCATCCTATACTTAAACGGTTATGCATGATGTCCCCTGGGGTGGGGGTGGGGTGGTGGGGGTAAAGCGTATCAAGATCAGAGGGGTTTGAGTAGGAGCATTCGATAGCTGATCATTTGGTTTGCCCTTTGATGTCGTGCAAACTCTAGCATCAGGAGCATTATAGGATATCAGTAATTAAACCTTTAGTGGAAAGAACCCTTTAATATGAAACAATGAGATATATGATGACAAATGGAAAACAGCAGATCTGCCATTCTTCATAAAAAAAATTAAAACATTAAAAAAGAATACATTCAGAGATTATTGCGAATGGTAATTTTCTTTCTGTGTCCTAATTGGTGAAGGTATCTCAGTTTTTATTAGATTCTTAATTTATTGCTTTTTGCACAGAACATTGGCATAGTCAAAAGACAAATGCTACAACAACACAAGGTAACGTGTTTTTTGTGTGAAATGGGGCAACAAACCTCAAAAAGAGTCTACAAATAAAGGGTAAACAGAATATAAGTATAGACAATAACAACGCTGCAGGTTCTGGTGCTGCGGAGACCCCACACAGAGACCCGCACGTGTGGGCCCAATCAGCAACCGAGGACCACCCAATCCTATGACTTAAATGTCAGTTGTCAGTTCCATACTAATACATTCAATAGGATCTAGGTATTGCTGCATTCTGTTGCTGTTTCACCACTTGAGGATGTTCCACTTTCTTATGATCAAAGTAGGGCCCTAGGCATGAGTGACACCGTGCTAGAGGGAGAAAGGAGTCTAGATAAGAAACAAAGGGGGAGTAAGAAAAGGATAAAGAGTCTGGGAGGAGGGACTGCCGCTGCCGGGGTAAGCATACTTTCAGAACCCACAATGATCTGAGGATGGGAGATTGCCCTCATTATCATAGTCTTTCCATAGAGCCCATGTTTTCTGAAATGCTGGGAGAGAGTTTCTAACGTGTGCTGTCCATTTAGACTTCCACCTCTACCAAATATGACTCCACTCTTGGAAATGCCGAACACATGTGGTGAAAAGTGCCACTTTCACCACTCTGTCTCCAACATTCATCTGTCCCAGTTTTCTCCACCCAGTGTAATTTCACCAGTGTAGTGTATTTACAGAATAGCATTTGAACAACTGTTCTTCGAATGTCACACAAATTGAAGTTTTGGAGTTAGATTCTAAGTCAATTCACCGTCTTAGATATGCAGTGCGACAACACTATTTGGGCAAGCTGGGCAGATAAGTAATGTAGGTATAGGTAAGGCAGTCCTAGTCCTCCAGCCATACTGGGTCTATACAGTACTCCGTGGGCCACCCTATGTTATTTGTTCTGCCAAATGAACTTGTCCATGGCTTCCTGTATGTGGGGTAGGTCTTTTTTAGTGATAGGTATCAGCTATGACTAGAAGAAGAATGTTAGTCTTGGGAGGATATTAATTTTTATTACGTAAATATGTCCTATCAATGAGCTAGGCTTCTCAACTCAAGCATCTAGGTCCCTAAGAAGTGAGTGAAATGGAGGGGTTTAATTCCTCTTGTAAAGAGATTTGGGGTTAGCTGTTTTGCTAATACAGAGGTACCTAAGTGAGTCCACAGTAAATCTGATACAGTGAAGAGCGCCTTGTCCACGGCACAGAAATGAATGGACATAGCCATAGATTTCATGTGATTCACCTTGTAGCCCGTTAGTTCCATGGAGGGCAAAAGCTTGGCTATAAAGAGCAATAGGTCATCAGCATAGGCATAAACTGTAATGGGACTAACGGCTTCTCTGACACCTATAATGCCCAGGTAGTAGTGAATTATATGGAGGAGTGGCTCCAGCATCAAGGCAAACAGCAGTAGTGACAAGGGACATCCCTGCCTGGTACCGTAACTGAATGCAAAAGCTTTGGGTTTGGAACCTGAAATTAGAATTTGGGTGTGGTATACAGACGCCACCGGGAATTTCTATCTGGTTAGGAGTTTGAATAGAAATGGCCATTTAATTATATCGAAAAAACTAGTTACGGCGCACTCAGACTTGTAAAAATTCATAACTAAGAAGGCTACTATAAAACGCCTATCTAAAAGAATAAATATGGGGATTTAGTTCCACCATATGGCCATATGATGTTAAGCCCACCACTGCTTCAAAGTAACCCAACGCTAATTACAAAATGTGGGAGACAAATTAAATAGTACTGGTGCTAAAATTAAGCTACAGTGTATTGAATTAATTTAAAAACAGTGTAACAACTAAACAATAAAAGTGTTGGTGCTTGAATGAGTATGCTCACATTTGCAGATAATATCTGTGCTGCATGAAGAAAATAATAAAAGTGACATGACTATAAAACTCCTCCTATTTATACACACACCTCTAAAGAGGTCTCAGAAGCTGGGGGGCCTGGGCGGGGTGCTTAACCCCAAAGGAATCTGGTCTAGATTCCAAATATACTTGCACAGAGAAGAGACTGGGGGCACACCCGAAATATGCATCTTTTGGGTGTGCCCCCAATCTCTTCTCTGTGCATTTAATTATATCGAACATCTTTTCCATGTCCAAGGATAGGACCAGAGAAGGCATTCCAGTCTCCAACAGACTAGGTCAATATTCCTAAGGGTGTTCTCATAAAGTTGTCACCCCAGAATAAAACCAACCTGATCTGGGTGGATTAAGGTGGTTAGATCTGGGTTGAGTCTTTCTGATAATATCTTGGCAAATATCTTCAGGTTGAAGTTGATGAAGGAGATAGGTCTATAATTAGACACCAGTGAGTTGAACCACCCTTGTTTTCTAATTAATACTACATTTGCTAATGGAATATCAGGGTTTTGAAATCTGTGTCATGCTCAACTCTACTTTTATATGTTTATGAGTAAAATTATTTTACATGATATTTAGTACACGTGATTTTAAGATATTTTTTCTATTATTTACACTTGTTCTCGTTTCTTTTCTCTCTTAAATGTGTAAATTCTATTTCTTCATATAATTTTTATAAAAAGATCCAGTATTCATAGATATGTTGTCTTTTATATAGTTATATATGTTATATGTTTGATCCTGGAGGAGGAAGGAAATAGCTGGGGATACGGTGGCATCGGCAAGAGTGAACTGTATACTTCTTCACATTACAGACTCTGGCAAAGCCATTGCTCGACACAAATTATTTCCTTTTGCTTTACTGTATTAGAATTTTATTTATTTTATTTTTGGGGATAAGTGCCAAAAATACCTGACACTGGATCATTTTTATTGGAGGATCATTTTTATTGGAGTAGATGAGATTCATGTGAGTTGGGATCCAACACTCCCCACCGACTTGATCCTCTCAAGGTGAAATTCTGTGAAGTGGTAACTATAAACCACTCTTTGTGAGTTTTATCCTTTTGGGAATTTAATTTCTTACCATTATTTTAGAGTTTTATTTATTCTGCATGGTTTTATCTTTAGGCTAAACAGTGAGAAGATATTGGTATTGTGTATATAATTTTTGGTAACCAATTTTTAATTTTTAGTTCTATGGCAACCGATGACTTTGTATTGTGTTTACAAAAATTGCTTAGGTTTGCCTATGTAATTAAAATCAAATTCCATATTTTATATTTTGTAATACCATTTCTACAGGATTTGTATTGACTGCTCAGTCTAATATTGTGAATCACTATATATTTGATTAAAGCCAATTTATTTTGTATTGTATTAACATTTACTTCATTTAAAGATATAGTCACACCTACGATTATATGTGAATCTAGGCTTAAAGGAACTAGAAATATGTTTTAGTGTATTTAATTTGTAGTAATTCACAGATAATGAGTGGTCCAACCCATGAAATCTATTTATTCTTACTTCTTATCCCTCATCTTACATTCCACCCCACTGTACTCATTCATTTTTCTCTATATTTAATTATTTATTTATAAAATATTTTACCAGGAAGGATACGTTGAGATTTCTCTCGTTTTCAAGTATGTCCTGTCTTCTAGTTTATCTGTAGTCCATATGCACTCCAAGGCTTAGATAGGCAAATCTATTGGAACCACAGTATCCAGCAGCAACGTTTGGACCAAAAGGTAATTTTTAAAAAATTTTATAATTCTATTTTTATTGAGTTTTCACATTCAAAATATAGTTGTACAGACAGGAAATTGGTGACAGACAAGGAATTGATAACATCTCAATTGGATAATTTTCTTTGTTACATATTATATTTAAGTTGTTAGGTTGTTACGGTCATACAATTAATTAGTGTATCTGATTGCTTTGCTTAGCTGGGTTGTGAGTAGGTGTGTGTGGTTGTTTTCTTGTAGCCAGAGTGTTTTCCTGTGTCGCCGTTTAGGTGTTGTTGTCGTTCTATACATTTCGTGTAGCAGTGTGTGTTACAACCATATTGTATATATACATCGAAAAAAAAAGACATGTAAAATTAAGTTTATAAAAATATAAGCAAACGATTATAACCATTGGTCTCAGGGTTGATTCGTGGTTCAGTTGAGATTTCTGGGGGCTCCAATTTGGGGTCTCAGTTGTGTGTGTGGGCGTGATGCTAACCTGCTTTTTGTGTCTCACTGAGGCGAGTTGGGGGAAGGAATTGCGTGTTGGGTTTGTGGACCAAAAGGTCTTTTTAAAGCTCTAGTTCAGGTGTTCGGCAACCTTCGGCACTCCAGATGTTGTGGACTACATCACCCATGATGCTCTTACAGCCAAAATGCATGAAGTCCACAACATCTGGAGTGCCGAAGTTGCCTACCCCTGCTCTTGTTTATCTTTAGACAATGTAAAGGGAAGCTCATCTTTAAAATAAACTTTTGTGTGTTTTAAATAACTACGTACACAACAGAGAGAACTCCAAGAACAGCGAGTTGATTAAAAGTCTGGTTTTCTTTACCCTACAGAAACTTGGATGAGGCTGCCAGCAACAAATCCTCAAGCACAGACCTGGAGAGCAACTCCTATGACGAGAAGCCGGCTGCTCATTGGGTGATCTCTATAAGAAGTGGAAGAAGATCACTGCTACAGTGGTCAGAAAGAAGAGCAGGTGAATGTGTTGATGAAAGGTCATTCAATATTTCAACATGACCCCATACAGTGTTTCTCATCTCAGCTCCATGGTAACTTGACTAGCATATGGCTGTACGACTACTGTTTTGCTGAAGTAGATCTGATGTTGCTATGACTCATCTGTCCTTTGATCAGAGAACAATCTTCCAAGGAGGAGACACGTCAGAGCTTACTTTGTGTTGTTATTCTACCATAAAGTGAGACTGCTGATTGTTCTAATGACACAAAGAACACAGAAAATTAAAGTTTGCTTTATTTTTCATATACCATATTGGCTGAAAAAGATGCCTTTAATTTCAAAGGAAAAAAAATTACACCTTAGACTCCAACAGACAGGGTCAGATTAATATCTAAGGTACCCGCAGGTGCAGAATTATCAGAAATCCTTACCTCTCTGCAAATATACAGTGTTCACATTTTCTCAATGGTTGGAAGAAATCAGAAAATACACATCTCCTTTTGCAATAAATATATTAATAAACTATACCAAAAATGATGCAATTAATGTGTAGTAAAAGTAAAATAAAAAATTTACCAAAATATATAAACAGATGCTATATACTGCCTACTGTATCTCTTGGTAATTCTGAACCTGCTAAGAGCTTTAGGAAAAAAAGGTGCAGGAAAAATAAGAAATTAAGAAGGTATATTAATTTCCATGCCCAAAGATCAACATTGCAATAACATGTTTACATACTACCTGTCACCAATGCAACTTCCAACGCACTTCTGCACATGTCAAAATCTAAAAGATACTTTTTCTTGCCTACTGAATTAAGAAAAAAACATGATGAAGATATGGCAAATTGGTGGAAAAATATAAGAAAGGTCCACAGGACCATCCGTGACCAGGAAGGCTGAAGAAAATAATTAAAGGAATACTATAGGGTCAGAAACATGAACCTGTATTCATGACGCTATAGAGGTAAAAACACTATCTAGCCCCACAGTGTCCCCTAAATATAGTAACATTTTACCTTTATTCCAGCCAAGGAGGCAAGCCAGGAGGCAGAGTCAAACACCGCCCGGTCAATTAGCATCTCCTCATAGATATGCATTGAATCAATGCATATCTATGAGAAAATGTCAGTGTCTCCATGCAGAGGGTGGAGACACTAAATGGCAGTGCTGCACAATGGCCCAGAAAGCACCTCTAGTAGCCATCTAAGGAGTGGCCACTGGAGGTGTCCCGAGGCTGCATTTTCTCTGAAAAGACAGTGTTTACTGCTAAAAGCCTGCAGAGATTGACTTTACTCAACAGAACAACTACATTTAAGAATGAGAACCTATTTTTTTTATTCGAAATTCACTTTGAATTTACCTTGAATTCTCACTTTAGTGAAAAACCCTACAGAGACTTCTAACTGAAGTGCCTGAAACATTAAGGCTATAGGACTCCTCATTTTCTTTTAGACAGCAGTGAAATAAATTTCATTACCTTCTTTGTATCCAAAATCCATCCAAACTGATCTGTCTTACTGTCCCTCATACTTATAATATTGGTAATCAGGCACAGCTTCATTTTCTGGTTCCCAACACCATTCCATTACTCTAAATCAAATAGGACACTTTCTGACTTATTTCTGAAATGGGCTCACCAGGTTCAAGTACATCTAAATCTCACCACAACTATGACGGCTACAGAACAACAATTTAAATGTAGACTTGTAAGTTGGGCAGTATAGCCGTGACAAAAATACCTTAAGTGACTCCTTCTATTCTACACTAAAGCCAATTAGGCTGAGATTCTCTTGGCGAATAAGCTCAGAGTGTGTAGCCACCAGTATCTGCTTCCTACTATACAATAATGGTTATAAATGTCATGCATTTAAATATATATATAAAAAAGCCAGGTCTACTCGGCAGCCCATTACAAGAGGTACTGCTCAGCTTTCTAAAAAAGGTGAACCATCCTTGCATGCAGTCATTATGAGCTTTAGTAAAATCACTTACTAAAAAAGGAGTCTAAGTTAATAAGGAAACTGCAGTGCGGTAAGTTGCTGTGGCCTAATGGATTCTCCGATCTTTATTATAAGCTGTTACCTTCCTTATTGGCCCCCAAATGCCAGCCTCTTTTTATTGTTTTAGCAATTCTGGGTTGACTACCTTTGAATTCTTAGTTGTGAACATAGTTACTCTGCCCAAACCAGGTAAGCACTTCCTCAGACACTTAAGTCACACACCTTTCTATTCTTCTTCTGTCCATTTGTGTACAAAGTATTTGGACAATGATAACACTGCTTCGTGCTGTACTTGGAATGTGAACAAATTCCAAACAAACTTAATTTGTAAAAAATATACAAGAAACATTTAGAATTTGTGACAGCCACATCTGTTCTCTCATTAACATGGTAAAATGGATGTTGTATGCTATAAATCCTTGGTTAATCAGGAGGAGAAAATTAGATAGATGGTTTTCCTGGATGGGGTACCTCACCTCCTTGAATTTTCCAAATTTAAAATGCTCCCAGTTCTTAATTGTCATTGATATTTTTATGTACAGTTCCAGTATGTACATGAGGAAATAGGTAAGCAGATGGATAGGTAAGGAACTCCTGCCTCCACTACTCTGCTCACCCTCTAATCTATTATTTATTACTGGCATTTATAAAGCGCCAACATAAGTCAGTCTTCTTCCTACTCCCCACTACAGCCCATCGTCCTCTTTTTGGTTCTCTCTTTCTCGTTTCATTACCTTCATTCTTTTCTATTACTGGAACTGACTTTCCTCTTTCTTACTTCCTTCTTATGTTACTACACAGTAACACATGGAAAGATAGGATTACTTTAAACAGTGTACCTGCATGACTAGCTTTGAATAGATCAGGCATCATACACTTGGTTTAGATTGTTACGCACCTCTTACTACAACACACTGTTCTACAGAGAACGATTATTTGGAAGTTCTGTCCTTCTTAAGAAGGTAAAAACATCATGACTTCCCCTGTTTGTATTCACAAAAAGCCAAGCAAATGAATATATTATCTTTACATTATCTAGCGTACAATATATACACGTGTAATATAATCTTATGCGTCTTCATGAAATACACAGACGTCTGTTCTGGGCTATGTCCTGCTGGTTTACGTGATGCTCTTCCATGTTTTGTAAATATATTTTAGGTGGATTCTATTCAGGTATTTTGTTTTATGGTTCATTGTGTGAACCCATGATTGGCAACTTGGGAGAAAACAGCACACAGTGATAGGCGTATTCAGCAATTCCACTCACCAAATCTGATAAGGAAACTTGCAGCTGAAATACATATCCATAAACACCTTTCTCACCAAAGACTTGAAAGGTATCTTTGATTGATAATTTCATTTTTTTGCATCTTTTTGTATTGTAATACTCACTCCCTGTCTGAAGTGTGCCTTTGAATATAATTCTATTTAAAGTTAGCTTTAGGAATGGCTCTGCTGACCAAGCAATAGACCTATCAATATGTTGCTTAATTCCCTGTTAGACTATGAAAAAAAGTAATCATTATTTTTTTTACAAATCAACTCAATGCAGGGTTTATTCACCAAGATGCTAATTTGTAGCGTAATGAAAAGGAATTGCTAATAGTAGGCCAAAAATATAAAAATTAGATACATTTACGTTATTTTTTTCCTGTATGATAACGTTGGGCTAAAATGTGCAAATACTTTGTCAACTCTCAACAAGTCTGGGTTTAGCGAATAAACCTGATTATGACCAGTTGCGATCATAACCCTAAATATTTATATCTTCCATGTAGTTATTAATAAATTCAATCAATGCACGCTGTAAAAAAACTGTTTCCCTTATTCAGTAGGATCAGAATACATTGTTTTGTGCCAAGTTTGTGGTCACTCCGAATGCAGTATTCTTTTTTTTTGTGAAAAATGTATAAATAAAAGATAACAATGGCAAGAAAAATGAAACTGGTTTGGAAACATCCAATCGATCAGTATATGATTCAAACCACAAGTTATAGAAGTCATCCTAGACTTACACTTAAAATGACATTTGTTGTGTTTTTATAAACCCAAAGCCTCTTAACATGCAGACTAAATAGATTATAATGTAATAGTGAAGGATTACAGATCCCAGCCTGGTGTCATACTAATCCCTTACACAGAATATGACTTGTTACTGACATGGCTGGAATTCAGACGAGCGCTGGCTATATGACATATGGCAGCAATTTAAGGAAGTCATGAGCATGTTGTGATTTGTTATCTAATAAATTAATAGAACAACAAACTCAAAATTCACTGATTTGCTCTTCATTTAAAGGGACAGTCTGTGCACCAATACTACTTTAATGTGTGTGAAAGGTTTTGGCCTCCTTGATATGCTGTATTTTTTGCATACTCAAATCTTTATAGTTTTTGCATAAAAATAATAAATATTTATCAGAATGCTGCACCACAAGCCTGCCTCTTTAGCCACACCCCCTCACTCCAGAAAAATATTTCCTTATCAAATGAAAGCACACAGCTCATCCACTAACAGTACTGAATGATCTGAACTACAAAACAAACTGCATTAGAAGGAGAGGACACACAGAGAAAACATATAGTATGAAGGGAATGGCTAGGGAGCAGGCTTAATGTACAGAATTCGGCAAATATTTATTTATTTTTTGCAAAAACTACAAAGATACAGCACACCTATCAAACACATTAAAGGAACACTATAGGAACATGTTTTCCTGACCCTATAGTGTTAAACCCACAATCTAGCCCCCTTGCCCCTCTAAAAATAACAAAATCTTACTTTTACTCCAGCCTGCTGCTGCTGGCTCTGCCCCTGATCTGCCTTTGCTGACATCATCAGAAGTGGTGCTCTGAGACAATCATAATGCTTTCCCATAAGATTGGCTGAGACTGTCAGTGAGGCAGTTCAGGGATAGAGCCAGCACAAGTCAAACACAGCCCTGACCAATCAGCATCTCCTCACAGAAATCCTTTGAATCAATGAATCTCTATGAGGAAAGTTCAGTATCTCCATGTAGAGGTTGGAGACACTGACAGTCAGTGCTGCACAGTGTGTAGCACTGCCCCAGGAAGCACCTCTAGCAGCCATCTGAGGATTGGCAGTGGAGGTATCCCTAGGCTGTAATGTAAACACTGCCTTTTCTCTGAAAAGACTGTTTACTGCAAAATCCTGAAGGGAATGATTAAACTCACAATAACAAATACAATAAGCTGTAGTTGTTCTGGTGATTATAATGTCCCTTTAAAATTGTAT